TGGAGTAGACCCACTAAAAGAAGTGGCTACTCAACTTATGGAAACATATGCGGTGCCGCGTGTTAGTTTACCGCATCAAGCGGCAGCGTTGAAAAATGATCAGTAGCAGCCCCAGCGGCACACTCGTGAAGAAGGTGCCCGTGAAAACGGCGCTGGGTGGAAAACGCGGTGCCCCCCCGCCCCCGCTGGGAAAACTCCCCAGAACGACAATCAACAGAAACCCGCAACGGCCTAAGCGCCGCAGTGGCCGGCACCCACGGAGCCCGTCCAACAACCACGCAGAGAGAGGACTTTACGATGTTTCCGCTCGTCACCGAGTCGTTGCCTCAATCCGCAGTGGTGCCGTAGGGGTGATCCTAGGGGCGACCGCCGCGACCCGTGGACCTTTGCGGTCCCTGCCGATGGTCACTCCAAAGAGCCTGGCAGCGGCAGCGGGTGGCGGTGCGAAGTCATGCCTCTACCGTCGCGTCGATTGGCATTATTATGATGCCGCTTTGTAAAGCCGCTCATTGGCGACAGGTCACTCTTACAGGTCATCAGAAGACGACGCATGGTGCCGCGTAGTGCCTACTAGGTTTGCCTCGGCCGCGGGAACGGCCGACCCGGTGACCCCGAGCAGCGTGTCCAGGGACAGCTACAGGAGGGTGTAGGCTTCGTCACCGTCCCCCGCACTCATGTCGGCACACCCCTCACACGGTTCGTGGCCCCAGAGGGAGCTGCACCGAAGGCCCCGGTGGCAGTGCGCGCATGGCTCCATTGCTCCCATGTCCACACACACACACCCCTCACACGGTTCGTGGCCCCATAAGGGAGCTGTACCGAAGGCCTCAGTGGCAGTGCTCGCATGCGCCCCCCCGCATCTGGGCTGACACACCCCTCACACGCTTCGTGGCCCCATCGGGAGCTCCACCGGATGCCCCAGTGGCAGTGTGCGCATGCGTCCTCCGCGCCCATTTGGGCACACCTTCCGCACGGTTCGTGGCCGCATACCCAGTGGCAGTGCTCGTATGCTTCCCCCGCGCCCATGTCGGCACGCCCGTCACACGGTCCGTGGCCCCATAGTGAGCTCCACCAAGGGCCCCTGTGGTGGTGTTCGCATGCGTCCACCCCGTACATTCTGGAACACCCATCACACGGTTCGTGGCCCCATACGGAGCTCTACCGAAGGCCCTAGTGGTGGTGACGCGCCGCCAAACCCATGTCGGCACTCCCCTCACACGGTTCGTGGCCCGATAGGCGATTCCACCAAAGAGGATGTTCACAGCTGCGTCGTTCACAATTGCATAGAGTTGGGTCTTTCGCCAGGATAATTGTGTTTGTTTTGTCTCCCGCCATTCTGTGGTGTTGGCATCTCCTCTAAAGAGACAGCACCCAGCCTCTCCTTTCCTCTCATCTCCCTCTCCCTCCTCCCCTTCTCCCATCCCATCCCTGCTTCTGCCCTCCGCACGCGCATTTCGGCACACCCCTCACCCCTCACACGCTTCGTGGCCCCATAGGGAGCTCAACCGAAGCCCCCGGAGGGGGTTTTGCGTGTGGTTCTCCACGCCCTTCACACGTTTCGTGGCCCCACAGGGAGCTCCACCGAAGCTCCCAGGAGGAGGTTTTGCATATGGCTCCCACACCCCGCACACGTTTCGTAGCCCAGGGAGCTCTCCCGAAGCCCCCAGGACGGGGTTTTGCATGTGGGTCTCCACAACCCTCACGCGCTTCGTGGCCCCATAGGGAGCTCTACCGGAGCCCCCGGGAGTGGGCTTTGCGTGTGGTCCTCCACACCCTTCACACATGTCGTGGCCGCATCGGGACTTCCACGGAAGCCCCCAGGAGTCTGTTGCGCACGTGGTGCTCCGCGCCACTCACACGTTTCGTGCCTTCTCAGGGAGCTCCACCGATGGCCCCAGTGGCACAGCTCACAGGCGTCCCTCGGCCCATCTCGGCACACGTCTCTCACATTCCGTGGCCCCACAGGGAGCCCCACCGAAGGCGGCTTGCTGTACCGCGGTAATGATTCAAAACTGCATACGGTTGGGTCTCTCGCTCGGATAAGTTGTGTTGGGTTGGGAGGGGCGGAGGACAGTGTATACTCGTGTGTGTATATGTGTGTGGTTCACCTGCACGCTCGCTCGCCTGGCGCAGCCGCCCACTTGCAACGCGTGGTGGGATCCACAGGCTCTCTTTCGCTGCGGCGGCATCCCTCGGCCGGCGGAGGAGACATATGCGCATGTGTAGTGTTAGCGTTGACTGTTGGATGCAATTGTTCATGCTCGTTTTGTATTTCATGGATCTGCAATATGCGCCATTACCCCGCTCATCACACACAGCGCGTCATATGTATGGTTGTGCTTGGTATGAGCGCGCTTGTGTGTGTGTGTGTCAGGTTTAAGGTTCGATGGCTAGTGTTTAGGGTTACGGCTAGTGTTAAGGTTAGGGATCGGTTGTTATGTATGAGGGCGAGGATGTTAGGGTTGGCGTTGCAGGTTCACGGGTAATATGTTAAGGTTTGGGTTCCAGACTTAGTTGTTGGAGTCAGGTTTAGGGTGTTAGGGCTCGAGTGGTAGGGCTCTGTGTTAGCACAATGGACTATAATGTTAGATCCGGGTGTTAGTTTTACGGTGTTTAGGTAGGGTCGGGTTGTTGGGATGTGGGTCATAGGTATCAGGTGTGAGGGTTATGGCTTCAGGGTTGGGGTCTCAGGCATAGGGTTGCGGAGTTCTGGTTAGGGTATCAGCGTTAGGGTGTTAGGGTAAGGGTGGTACAGGTATGGTTCTGGAGCATGGGGTGGAGAGGTGCAATTCCCTTTTTGAGGCAAAGGTTGGGGATGGAGGAGGTATCTACGCCCCGCCCCAGGGGGAGAGAGGGGGGGTTGCAACACTCCCTCTATTTGGAAAGAAGAGGGAGGCAAGTTCCACGACGACGGCGGACCGAGGACAGGGGGGAGGAGGAGGGGTCAAGCCAACCCCCCCTATTCCAACCAGCGGCGCGCACTCCCAAACTAGACCTCGCCTTCCAGAGGGATGCCAACAACGTAAATGTTGGCATTGTCTTGAGCTCCCGGGAGGTCCAGCGGAGTGCGGTCTTGAAGGAATCCAGAGGGAATTTCGCCTCCATGGGGGCTGCCAACAGCGCAACTGTCGACGCTTTCATGAGCTTCTTTACGGTCCAGCGGAGTGCGGCCTTCAAGTGTTCCGCCTTCCATCAGCGTAGGTGTTGGACCTTTGTGTGCAGGTTCATGAAAGAAGAGTCCTATGCGAGAGCACGATATTCAAGACGAGCCACAATATCTCCACACGTCTGTTTGAACGCTTACAGGTGGACATGCGCAGCGCTGAGGGACGACGGCAGCATGACTAGCACGACCGCATCCCCGTCCGTGTAGCTGTAGGAGGTGCTCAAGGGACGAACGTGCGCGGCGCTGACACGATAGCCGCATCATGAAAACGATCCGCCCGCTCTCAATGTAAGCAGGTTGGGCACCCTGCAAAGTGATAGTTTTCTTATTCGTTGTTTTGCCGATCGGCGTGGGCCCTCGCACCCCCCCTCCCCTGCCCATGGAGTAGATCTTGACTGTTTTTGGCGCCTGTTTCGAGCAGGTGGAGCCTCCCCCAAAGGACGCACTGTCGCAAACAGTCGCACTGTAAGCATGGGTCCAGAGCCAGACCCCCCTCCCCCCCCCTTCCGCCCAATGCCCAAACGCCGAACAAGAAAGCGCTCGCAAACACACGTACGCGGCGCTAGGACAAGGGCCGCAGTGAAAACCTCTGGCGGATTGTTGTTTGGGGTCGAGCGTGCGCAGTGTGGGGCCGAGAGCCACACCGCCCTCCGTCTCTGCGTGCCTACGGGAAGCCTTTGTAAGACGAGCGGGCGCGGCACGACGGCGAGACCCACACTCGGAACTCCGCTCGCCTCAGTCTCCGCGTGATTGCTGGTACCTGTCAGGTCGAACGTGCGGGGCACGGCTGCGAGAGCCACACTTTGAAGGCTGCTCGCTCTCCGTCCGTGCAGGTATTGGCTGGCATTCGACGCGCCCAGTAAGGGCGCGCGCCTTCATCTCGGGTGCCCTTGTGTCCTTGCCTCTGCGGGCCGTCCTTCGCCGTTCTCCCTGGTCGCCCGCCGCCCAAACATCCCGATTTCGGCCTCCAAGGGTCTTGCGTTCTTGCCGCCCGTCCATCATATACGTTTTGATTGTGTCCCGAGTTCTCGGATGGCATTGCGTGGCGAAATGCTGGGAAGCACCAGGCTCGCTCTACCAGCATGCCTGGTGGTGCGGCACGGAGGAGCTTTTTGAGCAAGATGGGTTGAGGATGTGAAGCAGCACGGGGGGTTGGAGAAGGATAAGAGATAAGGCGTCACGGTCAGATGCTGATGATGATGATGATGATGATGATGATGCTGATGATGATGATGTTGATGATGATGGTGAAGATGAAGATGAATATGATGTTGATGATGATGATGACGAGCAGACACCGCGAATGATGATGCCATGGTGAAAGAAGGTGAGTCCGATTATGATGATGAGGAGGGGGAGAGGAGGATTATTCATGTAGTGGGATAGAGTTGATGGTTAGAAGGAGCAAGGGGAGCAAGGGGAGGAGGAGGATGAGGAGGAGGAGGAGGAGGAGCAAGTGGAAGAGCAGGAGGAGACGGAAGAGAACATTGAGGAGTGCGACCATGGCGAATATGATGAAGTGCAGAAGGGAGTTAATGATAGTGATAACGTATGGGACGAATACTATTAGCAGGATGAGGAGGACAACTAAGAGGAGTGTGGGGATGGGGTGGAAGAGCTGGCGGAAGTGCAGGAGGACGATAGCGAGGATGATGACGAGGTGGAGGAGGCGACAGGGCAGGAGGATACGGAGTTGGATGAGGAGGCGGAGCGAGGAGCAGTTGGCAGAGGCTGAGGAAGTGGAGGGTGGGTGGGGAGGGTGAGGATTAGGACCTGGGAGATGAGAACGAGGACGAGGTCGATGGGGGAGCAGGAGGAGCAGGAGCCTGCACGCAGCCGTGCTGCTTTGATGCGCGTGCCAGCGACGGGACCAGCTCTCACTCGGAGCAGGCTCGGGTCTCGCCGGCGATGGGCGACCGCCGGCGCGGAGAGGAAGACCCCGCCCACGAGGGGCTTGCCCGCTCGAGCCCAGACCTCCCCCTCGAGGCAGAGCAGGCGCCAGACAGCTCCAGCGGCGCCCTGCGGAGGAGGCGGCTGTGGAAGGTGCCGGCGCCGAACGGACAGGGCGAGAGGATCCAGGCCTCCCAGATGCGGTCGGAGCAGATGGGGCCGAAGGATCGCGCCGCATCGCCGATGCATCGGCGATGCGGCTCGATCTGGAGCCCGCCTTTCTCCACGCCGACTGCGCCGATGCGTCGCCGACGTCACCGATGCATCGGCGTTCTTGTTGACATCATTCCACACCATCCTGTGGTGTTGCGTCCTCGTTTTGAAGAGACAGCGCCCCGCGTTCACTCTTTCCTCCTCCCCCTCCTCCCTCCCCCCATCGCTGCCTCTGCCCTCTGCGCCAGTCAATCCTTTCTCCCTCCCTCCCTCCTCCTCCTCCTCCTTCTCCTCCTCCGATTCCCTTCTCCCATCCTCGCCTCTGCTCTTCGCATCAGTCTACCGTTTCGGCACACCCCTCACACGCTTCGTGGCTCTATTTGGAGCTCCACCGAAGGTCCCAGTGGCGCAGTTCGCATGTGGGCGTCACGCCCGTTTTGGCACACCTCTCAGGCGTTTCGTGGCCCCGTAGGGAGCTCCACCGAAGGTCCCAGTGGCGCAGTTCGCATGTGAGCGTCACGCCCTTTTCGGCACATCTCTCAGGCGTTTCGTGACCCCGTAGGGAGCTCTACCGAATGTCCCAGTGGCGCAGTTCGCATGTGGGCTTCACGCCAGTTCTGGCACTCCCCTCAGACGTCTCGTGGCCCGTAGGGAGCTCCACCGAAGGTCCAAGTGGCGCAGTTCGCATGTGGGCTTCACGCCCGTTTCGGCACACCTCTCAGGCGTTTCGTGGCGCCGTAGGGAGCTCCACCGAAGGTCCCAGTGGTGCAGTTCGCATGTGGGCTTCACGCCAGTTTCGGCGCACCCCTCAGATGTCTCGTGGCCCCGTAGGGAGCTTCACCGAAGGCCCCAGTGGCGCAATTCGCATGCGCCCCCCCTCTCCAAATCGGCACGCCCCTCACACGTTTTGTGGCCCCAGAAGGAGTTCCACCGACGACTATCCTCACAACTGCGGCACTCACAACTGCACATGGTTGAGTCCTTCGCCAGGCTAATTTTTATGACACCATCTGCTCGGACTCCATCGTCAAAGGAGGGAAATCACCCTGACACCCACAATTGGCGCTCAACTCTACGGCCCTGGGCGTCTCTCTGCCTGGTTCGATTCGTGCTTGGGGCGCGTTGACTGAACTGCTTCGCTTCTCGGCGTGCTTTTTCTGAGGGTGGCCTTCTGCTCTCCGCATCTGGGAGGCCTCCCGAGGAGCGCGTCGCCCGCGCCCCTCGGCAACTCGGGCGCGGACCTGGGCCCCGTGCTGAGCGCGCTGCGGGAGCAGGCCGCCGTGCTCGCCGAGATCCTCGACCGGCTGCCGCCAGCGCGGGGGGACCCTTGCGTTGGGCGGGGCCCCTGCGCCAGATACGCCCAGGCTGCGGGGAGGATCGAGGAACAACGGGCGCGGCATGAACAGACGCCGGGGTACAGAACACTGCGCCACCACAAGCTGCTTGGCATCGCTCGGACGTGCGCATTTTTCCCTCGGCGAGGACCATCGAGGAGCATCCTGGACCATTTGGCGAAAAACCACCCACAAAACCGAAAAAAGCACAGGGGATGGACGTCCGAGCGATGGCCAGTCGGGGGTCCCCGCGGATTTTTTTGCATCGGCGATGGATCCCTTCCCTGGCGCGCGGAGCACGCCAGGGGCGGCGCCAGAGGCGCCGCCAGGGTGGCTCCAGCGCCGCTGCGAGAAATCCGCGCGGACCTCCGAGGGTTCGGAGCAAAAGCAATGCATTCACATATCCTAGTCCTTCCAGATGGGGTCGGTGTCGATGGGGTCGGAGGATCGCCCGCATCACCGATGCAACGCCGATGCATCGGCGATGCGGCTTGATGTGGAGGCCGATTTTCTCCGCGCTGGCGTCGCCGATGCACCGCCGACTTCGCCAGTGCATCGCCGATGCATCGCTGATGCATCGGCGATGCCTCGCTGATGTCGCGCGATCCTCCGACCCCAAATGATCGGGCCCCATCCGGGAGGCCTCTGCACAGGGTCAGGGGCTTTTGCCAAGCATGTCGCTCCGCCAGTTCTGGCCCACTTCGCTTCGGCGCGACACGCTGTCCACGTCCCAATTCCGAAGCGTGAACGTCCTGATCATGTCCCATCATCCTGCCCCGCGGAGCGGAGCGACACGCCATCCGCTTGCAATGCATAGCGTGTCGCCGGTGCCCCGCTGCGACACGATAAGCAAACGCTCATGACTGTAAACTTTCTGTGGTCCACGCGGATTTCTAGGATCTGCGTTGGGCACCGCGTTTTTCGTTCCTCGCTGCTGGTGAAGAAGACAATGTTTTGTTGCCCTCGGATCTGGTCCTCATGAGCTCGAAAGAAAAAGGCTCCTTCCTCGCGGCCCTCTGCGCACTCCGCGCGCCAGCGAGGGGGGTCCAGCGCAGATCCGAGAAATCCGCGCGGAGCTCTGATGGTGTAATTCTTTATGCTGGCTCTATTTCTTCTGCATCAGGCTGCCGGGAGCTGGGAGGAGCAGTCGGGCAGCATCAACCTGCGGCAAGACTCGGTGCAGCTGGAGGTGGCACATGTAGGGTCGGACGAGTCAATGCACGCTCTGCCCGCAGCAACCCGGATGCTGTCCACGCCGTCCACTCCGTCCGCCGCGAGAGGGAAGCCCCTGAAGTCCAAGCTTGCAAGCCGCCGCAGGTCACCCAGCAGCAGGCCATCGAATCGCATCAGCAGGTCCATCCGCCGGGTTGTCGCGTCGCCGACCTTTGACATAGTTTTCGGCGCACTGATTCTTCTCAACACCATCATCATGGGCGTCGAGGAGCAGTACATGGGTTCTCAGGTGGGGTACGAGCTGGGCTTCTATACTCATTATGGCTCTCCCCAGTTTGGAGATGGAGATGGTGTTCTTCTTGGCGGTGATCGCCATGTGTTCCGCACTGCTGAAATCGTGTTTGCTGTTATATTTTCGTTCGAGGTGATCCTGCGGATGGCAGGACTTGGGTGGCATTTCTTCAGGCGACCTTCCGAGCATTTTGACCTGGCAGTGGTGGTTTTGTCGGACCTCAGCATCATATTCAGCAGCATCGAGACTCCCATCAACATTCAGCTGCTGCGGCTCCTTCGGGCCACGAAGCTGCTGCGATTGGTGATCGAGGAGCAGAATCTGCATAAGCATAGTGGGGCCTCTGAAGGAAGAAGGAACTCTTATCGTTGGTGAGGGGCTCAGTGTTCCTTAATTGTTTTGCAGTTTGTCTCAGGGTTTCCTTAGGTTTTCGATGGGAGAGTCGAAGTTTAACTTATGGAAGAGAGTGGCATCGCTCCTTATTCAGGGGTCCTTTTGGTAGCGTTTCGACTCTAAGCGTTCACTTTCGGAGCTCCGCGCGGAGTCCTGGGATCGACGCTGGACCCACTTTCCTGGCACGCGCCAGGGGCGGCACCGGAGGCGCCGCCAGGCGGGGCCCAGCGCCAGTCTAAGCAATCCGCGCGGATCTCCGAAATTCTAGACGCGGTAAACCCCTCCCCGAAGGGGAAGAGGGAGGGGTGGGAGAGGAAACGCCCTAAACCACCGACGCCCAGAGGGCTGGTGGGACTGTATGCTTGCTGCATGTGTCGGTCCCGCAGGTGAAGCTGATCAGAACCATCGAAGGGTTCGATGCGCTTCACCTCATGATGACAGCGCTCGGCGCCTCTGCCTGGGCGCTCTGCTGGTCCATCCTGCTCCTGCTCTTCATACAGGTGTTCGTCGCCATGATCGTCACGAACGTGTTCCGTTCGGCGTACCTTGACGCGCCGACCGACTTGTCCGAGGAGGTCCGACTGGAGTTGTTCGAGTACTTCGGGACGTTCTCCCGCTCCATGATGTCGCTCTTTGAGTTGGCATTGGCAAACTGGCCGCCTATTTGCCGCTGGCTCATGGAAAACCTGCATGAGGGGTTTATGCTCCTTGCGATTTCCTTCAAGCTTGTAATGGGCATTGCTGTCATCGGGGTAATCCAGCTGCGCTGCCGCGCATGTTCACCACCGCTCTCGGGGAATCTGCGCAGCAAGGCTTTAGACAGTAATAGGGGTGCTGTGGCGTGGATATTGAGATGCCCTTTCTAGAACCGTCGTGCAGTCCTCGCCGTTTTGGCGGGCTCTCGGACCGTCTTCGGAAAAAACCCAGGGTTCGCTCGGGGCAGTGCTTGGCTTTCTTAGGGGCTTATTGGGCCTATGTGATGTTTATCCGATGCGGTTTTGAATCGAAAGGTTCGAGTTCATTTGCCACGGCCGTGCCGTTCAAACTTGCGGAGGGCCGTCTGGAGTCCTTGTGGTACAGTCAACACGCATAGTAAGGATGAACGACTTTCCAAGGTTACCCGTGCATCCTTCCGGTCGGCCCATCCTTGGCCGGTAGTGATACCCCCTGGTTTTCCGGAGTAAGGGGGGGGGTTCGAACCGTTATAGTGACTCACGTGACCCCCCCCCCCCGGTTTTCCGGATAGGGGGGGTCGAACCGGTAGTGACACCCCCCCGGTTTGGGCGGGGTTGCCGGGGGGAAGGGGGGAGGGGGGGGGATTCCAGCAGGGGGGGGGGATTTTCGAAGGGCGGGGAGGGGGCCCGGGTTCCGGATGAAGAGGGGGGGAATTTTCCACAGTAAAGCGGCGGTGGATCACGCTCTCACAACTGACTAGCGAATTGGCCGGCGGGGAAAGAGTGGGGTGGGACGGCCGAGAGAAAGACGGGACGCTCAGACGACGAATAGTTCGACGATGAGCAACACGCACACGCACACGCGCACGCTTACGCACACGCGCACGCTTACGCACACGCGCTCGCACACGCACACGCACACGCACACGCGAACACACGCACACACGCACACACGAGTACACAAGCACACGAGCACACGCGCAGGCACCCACACATGCACACATGCACACATGCACACATGCACACACACGCACACTTATGATGTTCCAACCTACGTTGGCCAGAATCACCGGAAAACAGTTCGAGCAACAAGAAAGTATCGAATCTCGAGGGTTTTCACGTGTCGGCCCCTGGGAGACACTCGTTCGACTCTGTTTTGACAGTCTTTCGACACTTTCCCGGGTGCTCGAATTTACTTTTGGGATGTGGTCTTTAATTACTATGGGAGCAACACAAGCGCACACACGCACACACGTACACACGCACACGCGCACAACGTTTATGAAATTGCACTCATGGAATCTGTCGACAGGATGCAACAGATTTGTCCCAAGGTTTCGCCCGCCATTGTGGTGGACGACTTGGTCCTGCAGAGGCATGGTGGCGAGCAGCGCGCCTCGAGAGATATTGTCATGGCAGCTCAAGCGCTGGTCAACGGCCCTGCCAAGGACTACATGCGCATCGCTGCTAAGAAGTCGCAGCGTCTAGCGTCCAAGCCCAGTCTCGCGCAGGACCTGAAGACCAAGCTCATGAGCATCACAGGTGCTCAAGTGGTCAGGCATGATAGGAACCTCGGCACCGACTGTGCACAAGGGCGCACTCTTGGTCGAGTGGTCCGGCAAGGACGACTACGAGCTGCTGGGCGACGTGTGCCCACAGTACGGCGCCTTCTCGGACATGGGGGTCGACGTGGAATGGCTGCTTGCATCGCCAAGCAAGGCCTCGAGGCAGGTTGCGCGTACAGTGTGAACTGAACGAGGCTAAGCGATAGCGACCTTCAGACGGCTCGATCTGTGGCCTTTCGTGCCACGGAGGCCCGAATCGACGGCAAGAGTCGCGCGCTCAGTCTCATGTTGTCGCTTGTGCGCGAGCTCGACCCTATGATCCAGTCTGTATGATTCACCGTGCAGTGCGGGGCAACTGGCTGCCGCCGTCTGTTTCATCTTCAGTACTGCAGTGGACTTCTACCCACGTCGCGTTTTGGGTTCAAGTTCGCGGGCCCACCAGTGCCGCCTTTATGTCCTTGCTGCGCGTCGGCTGGGCGGCTACCAGCATCGCGACGTGGGTCAACGCCTCGAACGGGGTGATCTAAAAGCAGTTGGATTTTTCGCCATGGCATAGCAAGCAGGTGGTCAGGGATGCTGTGGCGTGGTGGCAATTTCAGAAGGTGGCCGATAAGCTGCCGCATATGGATAACGGCCTCAACATCATGCAGCTTCGCAAGTGTATTCGTCGTGGGCGTCCCACCGCTTCCGAAGGCCGTCAATGGCCTACGCTGGGCGCGGAAGAGCGCCGACATGCCAGGTCCCTGATCGTTGGAGGGCAACGGTTGAATCACCGACGCTAGTTTAACAACCCACGGTATGCTCATCCTGCAGAGTGTTAGCTATGCCGTGGGCAAGATGGCACACTAATATATGGCACTGCCATGTGGAGCGAGCTCAACATTGGCCGCAGCCTCATATTACAGCGGCCATCGAGGTGCTCAATCGGCAAGCTGAGCATCCCATCATCACCGCGCTTGCCGAGAGGCTGCTGACGGTGAGACCGAGGGTGCTGTGGCAAGCGCCCCAGGATGAGTTGCTGTCGTCTGTGCGCTGGATGCCCGGGAATGGAGACTTGCCGTTTCACGGCGACGAGCTTTTCACGGGCGGCTCGGCGTTCGACCTCGACATCGACTACGGCGCGGCTGGATGCGCAGTAGCGCAGATTCCCTCAGGGCCAGAGTGGTGCAATCCAGGCCCGAAGTGCGCGCCGAGGGCTCTTGTCTTGGCTGGGCTCTTGTCTTGGCTCTCGTTTGATGGGTTTTCAGCAGTCGATAGAGGGTGCTGAGCTCTTGGCTATTCTCATTCTGATCAGCCGCAGTCCGGCGCCCATCGCCGCGGGGGTCGACGCTGGCCCTGTTGTCAACGGCTTATTTGGGCGAGGGCGTGCAGGCGCGCGCGGTGCATCGCATAGCTGGGCTTTCGTCTGGAGACTTGCATGGGATGCAGTCGATGACTTTGGCGGACTCTGCCCAGGCGGGCCGGCAGTTCTCAACGTGACAGGACATGGGGCCCTGAGAGATGTCGAAGCAGGACAGCTCGCGCGAAGGGGGGAGGGGGGGCGAGGTAGCCTTGGAGCCGACGAGTGGGCCTAGCAGGCCACTCGCCCCTGCGCGTTGCGGTCGGCCGACGGGGGCGCGGTCGAGCGCGCCGTCCGGATGGCGGCGCCGTCCGGATGGCGGGCGGCGCGGCGGCCCGGGCATCCTCCGCTGGGGCTCTCGTCATCCGCCCGCGGTAACATCGCCGCTGACGCGGTGATCAAGCTGCCGCCCAATATAACCCGCAGTCTCGCCGGGCGCGAGTTCGCGGCGGAGGCCGACTGCCGGCGGCGCTCCAAATGCGGGCGCCGCGCGGGCGCCAAGGAGACCAATCGCGAGCAATTCAGCAGTCCGCGCGCCCCTCGGCCAGCCACCGGCGCGCCGCTCCCGCGCGGCGCGGGCCCGCGGCCTCGGGTGCGTCAACATCTGGGGCCAAGCGCCCCGCAGCGGCTGCAGGCGGCGGCGGCGGTGGCGGCCTCGGCGGCGGCGGCGGCGTCGCTGGGCAGCGACGGCGACCCCGAAGGCGACAGCGGCGAAGGTCAAGCAGAGGAAGTGAGCGGAGGCCTTCGGGTGCTGCTGCGTCAAGTTCGGCTGGCGCCTCAGTTGCGGCTCCAGCGGGGGCTCTTTCTAGGGCGCGTGGTCATGACGTTCGCATCGAGTATGGCTATCGATTGTGCGTGCAACTGTGCTGCTTCGTGGGAGAAAGAGACGGCCTGCTTCGCGGGCCGGGGAAGGATTGCGCAGGCCCGCCCATGAGAGGTGACAATGCAGGCCGCGTGAGAGAGCAGCGACGTGAATTGTTTTGTTGCGGGCAAAGGTCCTAAGGCCCGCAATCCATTGTCACGCGCATGGTGATATATCACACGCTTCGCGTGGCGGATCCTCTTAAGTTTAGTTGCGTCCCATGTCGCGTGCGTGAACTTTCTGTGATTGTTCGCGTTCGAGTGGTTCTGCTTCCAAATGTTGTGCATTATTGCGTGCTCCGCGCGCTGTGCTCACTCGAAGTGTGAGCTCCGCCGTGCCCTCTGCTGTGGCGTGGACTGTGGGGTCCTGCCGTTGCCATGCATGGTGTCGATTGGGCCTTGGGGCTTGGTCGCGGCGGCCCTGGCGGCCGTTGCGCGCGCAGCTTGGCTGCGCGCGCCTGCGCGCGTAGAGGACAACGCAATAGCGATGCTACTCCTGTTTTGAAAGAAGAAAAACGCGCGCGCAAACGCACGCGCGCACGCGCACACGCGCGCACGCGCACACACGCACACGCGCACACACGCACACACGCACACACGCACACACGCGGGCACGCACACACTCACGCGCACACGCGCACGCACGCACACGCACACACGCACACACGCACACACGCACACACGCACACACGCACGCACGCACACACGCACACACGCGGGCACGCACGCACACGCACACACACACACACGCGCACACACGCACGCACGCACACGCGCACACACAAACGCAAACACGCACACACGCACGCGCGCACATGCGCACACACGCCGACACGCATTCGCACACACACACACACACGCGCATAAACGCACACACGCACACACGCACGCACGCACGCACAAATGCACACACGCACGCACGCACACACGCACACACACACACACGCGCACACACGCACGCACGCACGCGCGCGCGCACGCACGCACACGCGCACGCACGCACTCACGCGCACACGAACACGCGCACGCACGCACACGCACGCTCACATGCGCACACGCTCACACGCGCACGCGTGCACACACGAACACGCGCACACGCGCGCGCGCTCACACGCGCACGCGCGCACACGCGCACACGCGCACACGCGCGCGCACGCGCTCGCGCGCACACGCACACGCGCACTCACACTCGCACGCACACGCCCACACACACACGCACAGGCACGCGCACACGCACACGCATGCGCACGCGCACGTGCACGCACGCGCACACGCACGCGCACACGCACACGCGCACACGCACACGCAACCGCACACGCCCACGCA